TGAGCCTATTCCCATATACCGAGCACAATTCCAGACTCCGTACTGCTACTGAGAGTTTTTTTTTAACCTGTAATACTTTGCCCGACCTGGGAGACCCCTTGCTCGGCAGTCGCACTTACGACCACTCGGCCAACGAGGCAGTCAAAGCTTGCACCTTGCTTAGGTATAAACAATAAAAACTGTTCATGAAGCGGCAACGTTAAATCTGCATATGCATTCGTCAAATGACGCAACGTAGACAGTAGACCAAACAACAGTAGACTAATAAGGACTTATTATGAAGATGGTGAAACAGGCGCTTAAGCCTTACTTTTTCATACAATTTGTATCAAAGAAAAACATTATTTAACTACTGTCTCTCATATCAAGACCTAGATCACCATTATTAAACAATTTGCATATTTTTTATATACACACGTAGTATTAATGTGTGTAACATTGGCATCCAGTAACAATATAGTCGTTATGTCACATTGAAGGGACGCAATCGGAATAAATATTGCTTGCAATTATCTCTCGATTGCCTTTAGATGATGCGGCTTATAAACGGGTCGTAAAATGTAAGTGCTCACTCAGTTTGGTATAAGCAACCAGTATATTTTGACCTCCCAGTTTTGATGTTATTCTTTATTTGCGAGAATCATGTCTAAGAGATATTACGTGGAAAAGTGTTCATTGTGAATTGTCATTCATGTATACTCTGTCCTAGTTTCTAGATGATTCTTTTAACAAAAATTTTCACTTAGAATCTAATGGTAATTCTTAGGTTTACACCCACAAACTCATATATTGTTATGTAACAAATAATAAATGTAAATACATGGATGTATACTGTATATTAAAATAACTGATACATCTGACAAAGATATCTGCCTCAAGCAAGTCAATTTTATGGTGCAATTCACCAAAAAGTTGTCAGGGCGCAAATATGGACACTTTTAAGTCTACCGATGAATATTTTTGGTTACTATAGAACCGAGAAGTATCTATGAAATGATCCACTCCCTACGCATTCGTGTGTCCAGGTATTTCCACGAAACGCAAACTCAATATCTATAAATAGTGTTAAAGTAACTCTACGTTAGCGCAGCGACTCAATGAAGCTGATAATTTAGCTAAAAACAGATACATAATGTAACAGTTGACACAAAAAAGTATTTAATCAATATGTACATAATATAGCCAGTGTAATCTCTCAAGTGTTTGTACTACGGTTTCTTTCCTAAAAAGTATTTACCGATCAATTTGTTCTGGTTTCTTTGTTTATGTATCGATAAGGCTTTAATACCGTCATTATAATAACGATATTATTTTATAAAAGGAAAAGGAAGACTTTATAAGGAGTGTAAAAAAGATTACCGTTTTTGATGGAATTGTCAAACAATATTTTTTTGTTTAGCATTTTATCTTTGTTGAAATTTTATCAATAATGGACCAAAAGTCTCCTCCTATCTCCTCCTCTGGTGTTGCAGGTGAGCAATAATTGCTCATTAGTTTTATTACACTAGACGTATCACTGAAAACGTGACCTCTGAGAAAAAATCGGCTATTATGCACCTATTTCAGACAAAAAAAATATATTTGATGCATCATCGAGTACGTACCTACTACACACTATCTTAAAAATACAAACCCATGATCTAATATTTTACTTTACAAAGGTTACAAGTTTACTTACGCTATTATTTTCTTTGAAACCTTTATCTTCACAAAGAAGATCAGAATTCCACATATCAATGAAGCATTCCAAACTTATCTATTCCTATCAAAACTTCAAATTACTCATCGCAAAACGTTTAAAGAGACGAAATCGTTCACTAAAAACCCATTTCGAAAAACTTTCCTAGCAATGAAAATCCAGAATATTCCGTAGTTCATATCCCTTTGGAACAAAGCTCTGGTACATTTTAGATAAGTGAGAAATTCGTAAGATTTCTTCGTCTTCCCACCCTTTTTGGTTGAAGTCTATAAATTTTTATTAAGCCCAATTACTCTCAGAGGTCACTGTTCGAGATTGCGAATGATGATAAGTGCGCTATCGTCCCGATTGTGGGTCATTCCAGCCTTTAAAATTTTCATCCTTCTCATTTTAATTGGTTTTATTTCCTTAAACTCCTTTCTTTACTTTTGATGAGTTTGTTGATGAGTGAGATTGCTATCAAGTTTCGAATGAGATAGTCTGATGGGATAAAGTGGTATGGCGGTTTATAATTTGTATGTTTTTGGTTATAAGAGATTGGTACTCTGGAATTGTTTTTATGGTTTACTTATAGCCTTCTTCATAGAAAAGATGTGGATCATAATAATTCTAAGTGGATGTAAATCTATCTTCCATCTCCCAATGAAAAATGGAATAATACATTACCTATTTAAGAAGTTTAGCTTAACTCAAACAAATCCAATAAAACTTACGAACAACGGAAAAATAGAACCGAAAAACAAAAATTTCATTCAAAACGAGTATGATAATGAACTTCTGAATACTTAATTGGCGAACCGCAATATGAAGTAATTTTTAACTTAACATAACGAGAACAATCTCATTTCTTTTGAAACTTCTTATTTGTTCTACAAATGCTAACTAGGTTGTTACTCTGTAATTAGAATACAAACGTTATTCTATTACTTCTGGCTGCTTTTTTGCATACACGATGAAATGCATTGTTGGTTTAATAATATCAAATTCAATCTTTAAGTTGCTTTATGGTGACTGCCGAGCAGAACACATTAAGTTGGACAGCAAATTCACGATATTGCCTACTAAGATACTACGCATTGATAGTAACCGACCAACAGCAGTCTCTTATGAACATTGACTTCTTAAACTGTGATCTCCAACTGGCCTAGGTACCTATCCAACGTGGAGATTAGGACAAACCCTCTTTTTTACGGGATAAGCCAGTAAACGAGCAGGTGGATGGATGGTGGTAAGCAATTTGGCGTCGCCCGAAGACACATGGAACACCAGTCACGGTACAAGTGCATTAGCGGCCTTCTGGGGATAAATCTGAGGGTTGTTGGGGGAGATTAGGCCTCCGGTATTTACTTACACGATAAAACACAATAGAAGGGTTTTTTCACGTCGGTTTTCTGTGAGGCCATAGTATCATTCCGGTCGAGTCGGCCCATTTGTGACAAATCATGGCTCTCCCACGCATATATCTCTAACGTAGAAGATGCTAACAGTTCAGAAAACTATGACTGTTTATTGCATTAGCACTTTTGACAATAAAAACGAATTACCAGATTATTGTTACGTACATGACCCTAATCAAACAATTCGCTGTAATTAATTTCATATTGCGAACACCTAGCTGTTTTAAACAATTCTCAATTTGATAGAACAAAGGATTGGATTCGGATCCCAGTTTATGGACAGTAAAAATTTATACGCCGGCCATTAGGAATTGTATACATATTTTTATTTCATCGCCATTTTATTGATGTTGTTGAATGGAAAATTGAATATTTGAAATAGCGCGGATTCCAATTTTTTTATCGTTATTAGCGTCTATCTATATTTTTCTGTGGTTTCGAATTCTGATGAAACGATCGGTATTTTTATCTGTGGCTTTTATTTCTGACCTTTTTTGTGGATAGTCGAGGCTAGAAAGTTTAGATTGAATTCAAAATTATACTTATTCGTACGGTTTATATTATTTCTATAAAATATTTTGTAGCATGCTGTTCTATTTCACCACAGACTTGGATCATGAACATATATCCATCAGTACCTACTAATAGAATAACACATCTGTACATGTCACTGGTTTTTTCAGTTCATGTCAAATTTTGTTGTAATAAAAAGATAAGTAAAACACAACGAAAAAAAATTAATAACAAGCTACCGTAAGACGACCACTGCTGAACAGTCTTTTACTTTTACTCAACTCGAACGATAAACCCAAAACGTTCCACAACAGCGAAATTGCATGAACTTTTAAGATAAAAGGCAAATTCTTCCTTCCCTCATCTGAAACCACTTACGGGATACACATGGTGTTTTACTTTTCTATCAGACGTCATCTCATCACTCACTTATCCATGATAGAACTTTTCACAAAACCCATCCATCTTCACTTTGACATCTCTCCGTATCCATCAACCATTTACATTCATAAATTCTAACTCGCATCGCATTGCATCAAAAGCCTATAAGCGCATACTGCTGAGCGAAGGTCTCTTCTCATAGAAGGTTTGAGCATTAATCAGCATGTCTGCTCAATTAAACTGTCAAACACCAAGCGGTCATCGGTGACCGCAACCTATTGTTCTATAATTGTGTCTATAATGACGGTACTCGACGAGTTAATTATTATATTTTCGGCTCAGTCACGTAACTGTTTGACGATGGACTCGACTAGTTTCAAGCTACTATGAGTAGCAGTGCTACAGTCACCGTGTCCGGGTTGCGGAATGCTGCTCATGAATATAAGCCTCTAACATGGCTTGAAAATATAATAATTAATTTAGTGTGTCTTACAAGATAATATAAACATAGCGCTCAAGGCGAGTTGTCGATTTCTTATAATAAACTTATAATTAGAAATTATAAGTTTTCTTTTTTTTTCCTTACAATATTTTTCTTCACCTTAAATCAATAGCAAGAAATTCTCGGAAAAAGTCGCAGTGATACCACACCCTCATGCATGAAAAGCAGGCGCCGTAACTCCCGGACAACCACGTTATTTAATTCCCAACTAATCACATAAAATAACCTGTGCACCCATAAAATATTTTATCTGCATAGTGACGTCATAATTTCCCTTTTACCATAAACTTTTACTACCATTATGACGTAATTACAACATCGTAATTATGTTATTAATCTTTGAAGGTAATATAATTAATACATACTGTATATTTAATGTATTTTTTATACTTTGTTGTTATAAGTCGCGGGTTGTATCTTCGTTCGGATTAAATTTGACTATATATTTGGTAAAGTGTTATTGGTTTTTCGGAATTAAAAATAACATTTATTTTTCTTTGAATTTCAGATCACAATGGACCCATACTTCTCAAGTTCAACTGTAACCAAGGTTTCAGTTGATTCAAGAAAATAATCGTATGTATTTCTCGTTTCTTGTATAATTTACTAATAATATGCTAAACAAATATACCCAAAAATGCTGTTTATTTTGCTAAAAAGGTATTTTTTGTAGCCAACAAAACAAATGTTATGCCATATTACATCGAATAGAACAAATGTTAGTGTTGGACTACTTGGGATAATAACCTGGACTACAATGAACTAATTGCCTACATCGCTTATAAAACAGACCTAACAAAATACAAAGAATAATTAGTCTATATACCAAAAGGACATACAAACCTTAACTTAAAACTACATACCATTAAATAGTCAAAAACGAATCCACACTATATTTTTCCAACGGTCAACATAAATCATGTTTCGATAGAAAGATAAAAATCGAATTGAGTTGTAAATAACAACAATACAAGTATTTAAATGAAGGTTCTTCGGTCGACTTAATAACTAACTATAATTGTACTAGCGGCCTTCCTATTTTAAGTCTGTGGGAATGAACAGCTGTGCTAAAGGTTGGTTAGGAAAACATTGCTCACTGATCGATCCCCGAAAGCATGGCTGCTGTTCTGTTCATTTCATAACATACAATGTTCCAAAATGTAGATCTTATGAAGGAAATCACTTATATTTGTTGGAAGGCTGACGAGAAAAATTCATCAATACAAACATCTTCTAAAATCACCAATGTTAGATAGAGACGCGACGCGATGGGTTTTTGTCGTACATTACCGCAGCTAAATACGTCATTGCTCTTACAATCCCAAATGCATGAGCAATGTACAACAGACGCAATGCATTGTGTCTTCATATACGAAGCCTAAAACTCTCAAAATCGTCCTCTAGAAACATTTATTTGATTCGCAAATTGAACCCGAGTCATATCCAACTGAAAAGCAACCTTTTCAGTACTAAATAAATAATGGAGATTAAATCCCAAACTCCGAGCCAACACAATAAGACATTAAAAATTCGGACAGTCGTTAAATTCAAGCACTTAATAATTTGAAGCAAAGGCAACTAGAACTTCGATGAAAGTTACAAACTCAGCTGCCATGGCAGTTTAATAAACTATTTGGCAAAAAGGAAAGTTGGCTGGCTGAGCGAACGAGCGGTCTACGCGAACTCACTTCCCTTACCACTTCAGTATATTTTACAAGTACACTTGACGTACTTATCAAGTCCTTACTGGGTTTTAAGCGTACTTAGTAAAAGGAACCTAGAATATTTGTTATATTGAAGTTTTTTTTAGGAATTAGGGAAAATGGAAAATTTTTACTTGGGTAAACCGACAAAACTGTCACAAAATTGTTTATCTATAGTATTCTTTAGATTAGTATAGATGTTTTATAATTCAGTTTCATAACATCACGCCTTTTATCCCCGAAGGGGTAGGCAGAGGTGCACATAGAAGTAACACCCACTTTTCCCTATTTATGTTATGAGTCCCATGTAATAGGGGGTGAGCCTATTGCCATAGACCGGGCACATTTCCAGACTCCGTGCTACTACTGAGAATTTTTAAAAACCCAGTAATACTTTGCTCGACCCGGGATTCGAACCCGAGACCCCTTGCCCGGCAGTCGCACTTGCGACCACTCGGCCAACGAGGCAGTCTAATTCAGTTTCAATATAAATCTATTAAAATAGGTACCTATTGAGGTTTATAACAGATTTCTATTTCAGTGTATTTCAAATATTGCTTTAAGTAACGACCATGTAGAGAGGACAGGATTAAAAAACCCTTGCCATATAATTTTGTTATAATCCCAAGGAATCCCTTCTTAGACCTTTTACAGTGCACTTTCTCTTTTACTTTACCTTTTTGCCTGTATAAGACTTTAGCTTACAACTGCTTGTTAAAGCGAAAATTGATACTTTAAAGTTTTAATTACTTGCTTACTACGCCGTTGTTAACTTCATGTTGGCGGTTAGGGGTACCTATAGCTGTTCCTCTAATGCACACCTTTATTAAAGACGAAATAAAAATCGATAGAACATCCTTTTAGAAGTAATAAAATCACACTAATTACTGATCTACACCAAAGGTAAATAAGACACAATTGAAGTCTTATAGTATATAATAAAGCGGCAGAAAAAAGGCAAACCAGCATGGTGATTAAAAAAAATTAAGCATTTATTTTAAATAAACCATGTCTATACTTACATGATACCTACATAAACATAACATAAGCCTGGTATACCTGAACATATATTTTCAGCCAGTAGAGCCGTTCCCATTGTAAGGGACATGATAAATACGATGGATATCGAACAGAATGATGGCACAAAAGTTTCCCATTCACACCATACTGCTGTATCGATTCCTTTGTTCAACGTTCAAGGTCAAATCTCCCAACCACTAACTGATGATACAGCAATAATAAAATTACTCTTTAAATTCCCCAAACTTCGAAGCAAGAACCATCCGCGTAACTTACATAGTTCTAAAGTTTTTACGATCCCTTGCGGGGTCACAAATAATAATTGAAAAATTTCATTGCTCTAGTTCGAGGTGAAATTATTTTACTTTTATGCTTTTCGGTACTGTTTAAAGGGGAGTTTGTTCGTAAAATGTGAAAGAATTGTTGTAAAGTTTCGTTATTAAATTTTTGATAGGACAAAACTTAGTGATTTGTTAGTGATGTTGATATATGTACTATAGACCACATTATGTTGCAAGTTTAGGGACTTTGAAGAAGTCTAGAAATGTGCGTATCTGCGGACGGCGAGCAAGGGTTTTTTTTTTTTTTTAAGGGGGTAAAATCATCGAATGACTGCTCCCGCCTGGGTGAGGCGGAAGGGAGTGTCAGACTCTTACTGACTAAAAACCACCCCGTTCCTTCTCCTGCACATCGAGCCGGAGCCCCGGTTACCCGTTAGGTTCTCCGCGACTAGGCGAGCAAGGGTAGCTCGCCCAACCAGAACCAACCTGTGTGTACGGCGCGTCGTGCTCCGCGTGCGCCTCAAAGAGCCATCAGACCATCACAGATGAGGCCCAGTGGGGCTGATGCCCGATACGGAGCCGCGGAAATCCTAACGGGTTGCCGGGGCTAGGATCGAGGAGTAGAAGTAGGAACAGGGTGGTTTTTAGACAGTAAAAGTCTGACACTCCCTCTCGCCTAATCCAAGGCGAGAAAAGATATTTGATGACTTTCCCCCTCAAAAATAAAGCCTATTCAAATGGAAATAAACAATCAAATTGTTCTTTTTAAAACATTAGAAGCTACTTTTTGCAGTAACGGGTTTATTTATGCATGTCCCGTATGCTCTCTTCAAATTGTCGACATTAATATTGATGAAATTTTCATCATCACATCACAAAGCAATCTAAATGTTCCTGATTCACTCCGACCTGACCCCGTTTACATAAAAATACCGCAGAAATGAAAATGTGTATTTCCCGAATCGTCCTTTTTTATACCAACACAATGCGTTACATTTCAAAGCACCATTTTGATGGGGTTTTGTAACTGATGGAATTTTGTCACATCCTCATTGGAATTGATGTCGACAAAGTTTATTTTTCTTTATTTTTTTCTCGCATTTGTCACCCTTTTCGTTTGTATTTGTGTAATGGAAGGTATGAGGTGCTTGTAATAATATTTTTTTGGAATCATTTAATTGTGTTTTCAGTTGAGTGGTGGTGAGTTCGATTGTGAGATAAGATGTCTTTGATTCGATGCTCTGGTCAGGTAGTTATTAATGTTAATATTATTGTGGTTCTCTTTATCAAGAATATCGAAAATCCAAAGTAAAACCTTTTTTCTATTGTTTGATTGTTTACACTTAACACAGAAATAATATTCACAGCAATATAATGATACAATTTGAATAAACAAGAAAAGCTTTCACGAGCAGAACTTCAAATAACATTAAAAGTATCTTGAGTTCAATTTCATATTTTTTACGATGTGATTAAATATTTTTATAGCTAGCAGCTGGTATTTCATTTTGCGATTTCAATCTTTATATATAAGTACATAAACACGCTTTTGTCCAAAGTATTTAGAAATTAAACTTGCACCTGCCATCATAACATCCCTTCTTGAGACGTCGCGAGTTTCCTTTTTTAACTAATTAATATAATCGAGAGTAATTAGTTAATTATTTGTTTAATTTTTTTTTATTGTTTGTATTTATTTATTTACATTTCTTGCAATGGGTATACAATGGCGGACTTAATGCCTAGTGGCATTCTCTAACAGTCAACCTTAAGTAACTATAGTTAAAAGTACCAGTTCGGATCATGAGATCTCATCTTTGATCCCATAGTTTTAAGGTCTGTTTTACAATGTCTGGATAGTCGTTTTGTGCCCTATAAAGAATATAGAACGTAATTTGTATGAACTATATTCCACATACGTTTATCAGGTACTTATGAAGATGGTGAACCAGGCCATTAGTGACATACCACAAAACCTGGAATTGCACCAACGAATATCTTTAAGTACGAAATAAAGCTGATAATGTGATCGTTAAACAAAGAGGTTTACTATAAATACCCCTTTTTCTCTTGTTCGAGACGTCAAAAGTAGTCTGTTTCCGACGCTAGACATTTTTTTCTACTTCATCCAGACTTGTTCTTACTTATCTAGAAGAAAATAAGTACTATTTTAAAATGAATTAGATTTCGCTCGTAATCACAGCAGCTTCCATTTTCCACTGCTAAATTAAATTCTTCCGGCAGTTTTACGTTCGTTTGAGAAAAATAATCCCTCCAAATGGAACTAGAGCCGTTAATTAAAATTCTTATGGAGACTTTTAACTATTTCTTTTCTATTATTCTTAAAAATGAAACGAGTTTAGATTAGACAGCAACTATCGAACAAGTAAAAATTTATACCACAATTTTTCAAAAATGTATTAATGAACACTAAATTATTATCTTAATTGAGAGATATCGTCAAATTACTTCCACACATATATATGTACATAATCTTACGCCTGTCTCCCATATCTAGACAGAGACTTTGGAACGCCAATCGCTACGATAATACACACCAATTTTTTTGAAA